TCCTTATCTGGTTGTAAGAACCTGGATGTGCAAGGGTGTAAAAGCCTCGCTCCCCCAGCAGCAGCACTGCGGATTTCAGCTGCCAGAATGGATACTCAGCGGACACTCTGTGGCTCTGGTAAACTCTTTGGATTAAACCTCACTCACAGTTCACAGCAGGCTGCTAGCCTCAGGAGGCAGTGCGGCCTTTTCCTTATTTTAATCAGATTTCTTTTAATTCTCCCTCCTGTGCTGAGATCAAAGGCTATGGCTGGACTCACCTCACATCCTGCAACAACGATCAGCCGACACCAAGAGGAGTTCACTTGGCAAACAGAGATTTCTTAAGCTGAGTTAATGCAGCCTTGAACACACACAGTCCTTAGGTCACAGATCATTTCCACTACAAGTCACATGCCATGTTGAAAAAAATACAACATGTGTTAGCTAGAAAACACATCAGGGACCACTTCCCTGAACAGTACAGTGAGGCTGGCATGAACACCCTTCACAGATGTTCACTTTCACTCGTGTCAAGAGAGGTTTTTTAACACCGACATTTGTATTTGCGTGTGGCATGTGGATTTGCCTGCTTTCGAAGGTAAGCGTTTCGGAGCTGGCACCATAGGATTTTGGGGCTGAACTGCAGAACCTGCACGTGGCCCAGAGTATGCAGATTCACCTGCGAGGAACACACTCATGCGATATGTGGTTGACGCACTCATACCAGTCTTTTCTCACCTTTTTTTCTTTAATCCTCCTTTTCTTCAAAATGATTCGTATCCATCAGCTACCACAAAAATGCTCAAAACTCAATAACCTTAACAGAAATTCCACACTCAGCAGTATTCCCACTTTCTTCTGAGAAGCACCAGCTGACTCAAGCCCTTTCCATGCATGTAGTTTAGAGTACACCACACGCGTATCTTTCCAGAGCAAACAGTTGAAAACCTTCTCACAAAACCTAGGACACAAGCTGTCAGACAAACACTTTGGGGTGGAGTGCCTATTCTTAGTGCCAAACTCAAGCGAAAAAAAAAAATTAAATAAACGTCAATAAAACAAGGTCACATCTAGCAGAAACAAACAGCACTATCTTCACATGCACCTCCTTCTGCCAGGCCAGCCTCACCCTTCACTGAAAACCTGGAGACAGTTGCAGTGGGAAACAGAGGACAATCTGAATGTGAATGCTGCTCAAGAAGAGCACTTTGATCCTCCAAGGCATCTCTTGAGTTACATGGAAAACTGCCCATGGAGCAGCCATTCTCTCAGCATTGCCTTCCAGGTCTCCTTCATTTCCCTTGCTTAGCACCTCCACAGCGCCCAGCCCATCGCTGCTGATGAATTGTCTGCTCTCAGCCTTCTCTCTTCCCCTGTTTTTTCTCTCCAAGATTTGATCCCCCGCCTTCACTCTGGAGCCCTAGTCCATCATTAAGTCCTCCCAACTAACCCTGACCTCTGCCTCCACAGGGAGTTACGTGACAACCTGCACTTAAAGCTCAACACCTCCTGCCTTTTACCTCCTCTTGCCTACTTTTTTCTCCCAACATCACCCCCACCACCAACTGCCCAAAAAAAACCCTGGAAGCCACAATCCTCCCTGTTTCCTCCCTTTCCTGTAACCACAGCTTTCTGCTCTTTTACCTCCCTGACTTACCTACCAGTCATGCTCCATCCAGCTCTCCCAAGGGTCACGCTCATACTGTTTTGTTTACTGCTCTCCTGAGCATCTCCTTTGGCTTTCCCTTAAACAGAAGCACTATAATTTCAAAAACCCACTCTCATGCCACATAGTTTACTCATTTTTGTCTCTAAGCTATCAAGAGAGCTTCCCCCCCACCCTCTCCACTACACCTCCCATATAGTTTCCACATCAGCAGCCCAAGTGAAATGGCTCACGCAGAGGTCTCCAGTGACATTATTTCACAGAGAATCCACAGCAAGGAGCTGTCATGCTCCAGAAGGTTGGGTGCAGAGAGAACTGGTCCACCTCCACCCTGCTATTTTCCCCAGAAATTTGATTAGGGCTTTCCTAGCTGTTTCCTTCTTCTTTAGCTCCTACCTCCTGGCTCACTCACAAGCAAACATCTTTTCTGCATGTCAAGTCCACAGATTGTGCCTCTCTGCCAGACCCTGTTACTTTCTGCTCAAAGTCAGATATGCAGAAAAAAGACTGAAGAAAGACTATTTGACACGTTTAGTATAGCCAAAACAGCCACTCTTCATTCATCCTCCTCTTGCCAACACAAAATACGCCTCCATCCTAGTCTGCCATTGGAGCTTGTAAGCCTGAGGACTATCATCAGCATGCTCTTGATGTCCCTCCAGCATGAAACATGGTGCCATACTGGACCTTGGTTAGAGGGTGTACATTTGTATTCAGGTATTGATCAATCCAAACTTCAACACTGAGACTTTTCTGCATACATTAAGAGTAGAAGCTACTGACAACATTCTTCTTCCAGGAAGTCTGCATGTTCAGTCTTCCACCTGAGTAACCTGCTTCTCAAGAGCTTTCCTAAAAGGCCATGGAGCTCAGATACATCACATGCAGCAGTGAAGGAAAATGCCAGCCTAGATGATCTCCAGAGGTCCCTTCCAACTCCTACCATTCTGCGATTCTGTGAAAGCCATTTGCCATCTCGGGTACAATAAATTCCTGCAAAGCACCTACTCAAGGTAGCTCTGCTATCAGCAGAATGCCTATCTTAGCCTTAATCCCTGCAGGTGAAGCATGTTTAAGTGAAAGCAGAATTTCCAAAAACAATAGTTGTATCTATACTTAACATCACACTAAACCACCTCTCAGACTCTACTGATGTGTACACTCACCTGGCAGTAGCTGAGAAATAGCCCATTGAAGGGAAAGCTGTTGTAGCTGACCATTCCCACAGCTCATGCTGACACAGCAGAGCAGCTCGAAGTACAGTACCTCCCTAACCCACCTTAAGACCTGTCCCAGGTTTGGCTGGGATAGAGTTAATTTTCTTCCTAGTAGCTGGTATAGTCCTGGGTTTTGGATTTAGGATGAGAATAACATTGGTAACACACTGAAATTTCAGTTGTTGCTAAGCAGTGTTTACACTAACTCAAGGACTCTTCAGCTTCTCATACTGCCCTGCCAGCGAGGAGGCTGGGGAGGGGAGGGGTAGCACAAGAAACTGGGACACAGCCAGGACAGCTGACCCAAACTGGCCAAAGGGATATTCCATACCATATGATGTCATGCTCAGTACATAAACCAGAGGGAAAACTGGCAAGGGGCCGCTGCTTGGGAACAAGCTGGGCATTGGTCAGCGGGTGGTGAGCAACTGCATTATGCATCGCTTGTTTTTGTACATTCTAATTCTTTTATCATTATTTTCCCTTCCTTTTCTGTCCTATTAAACTGTCTCAACCCACAAATTTTCCTTCCCCCACCTCCGCCCCGATTCTCTCTCCCATCCCCTCGCGGGGCACAGGAGAGAGCAAACAGCTGTGAAGCACATACAATATGCGTACCATTTTCACTCTGGGCTGTTTTCCAACCTCAAGTAGATCTTACAGCCTTGACCTCTGCAGATGCCATCATAACACATCTAGATATGAATAACACTGCCACTGATAGCTTTAACAACCAAGTCATCATAAACAAGTACTGACATTGGGTAGTCTCCCTGGGTCAGAAAGGAAAGAGACCACAGAAGTCCACACAACCAAAGCCTTATTGCTATCCTCAGCAAACTCAGTGACTCCAAAGCCAAACAAATGAAACCAGTTTCAACTCATTCAAGCAAACACAGCCCATCGTAACATGGCCAAACTTGAGCCAGCAGGAAAACTTCCTTCTAGGATAAAGCAAGGCTTGGTTCACTAGCCACAGACAACCAACAGTAGATAGGAAAGCTCCTGCATTTTGAGGGACAATCCATTTCAGCTTGGCAATGCAAAGACACAGCCTGCGAGACTGAGAACAGACCGCACAAAGTTCTGCTTCATGTGATGAATACTCATTAGAAAGGATTCATTTTCTTCAGTAAGTTTCAGAACTCTGGAAAGAACAAAAGCTGCACATCTGCATGACACAGCCAAACCTGGCCGCACAACACAGCCAAATCCAGCTGCTCACACTGTCGACTCCTAAAATGCTGATCTCCTAAATATCCTAGAATCTCCTAAAATGCTACAATTGCTACAAAGCCTGTGGGGGCAACGCTCCCAGACATGCAGCTGCACAAACACTCAAGGCTACAGGTGCTTCACTCTGAAGATGGCACGAGACAAAAGGCAATTTTTCATGTTTCACATTGTGCTAAAGTGCAACCTGCCTCATGGTGCCACCACGTAGAGGATGCATCCTACAGTTCAACTGGAGAACCGGAAGTTATTCTACAAATAACTTTGTTTTATATAGAATATGAAAGTTACGGAGGCTGAATCAATGGACCACCACACATTTTCCCGAAATATGTTGTTCAGTCCTCTGAAGTAATGTTCAAATCAAAACAATCTGGGGTGGAATGGATATTTGGGTTAAAGGCAGCAGGGACAATATATTAAATCGTGGGGACTAGTTCTGCAGGGAGGGAGGCAGGCAATCCACTTTGTCTTCATGCCAACTCCAGCCCAACCACCAACAACAACCTGCACATTCAATACACAGGGCAATGTGAAAGACCAAGCTTTCACATTGGATGCAATAGAAAAACATTCTTTACTCTGGAAGTGTCTTTACAAATATATATTTATATATTTAAGCCCATTTCAGGCCATAAAAGCCCATAAAAAACAGCCAGTACCTTTTTGAACAAGAGAAACTGTGATCCAGAAGTCTGAGTTGAAAGACTCCTACACAAGGGCTGCTTTGGCGCTTCGCTGAAGGCCTCTATGTAGCACATAAAACCATCTTAAAAATCACATCAGCCTTTTATCTGAAAGGCAGGGCACCCCTTTTACCCCACCTTTACTACTCTCTGTATGAGGTAAACTGGAATCACTTTTACATAACCACTTACTGCTTTAAAAAGGAGATATTGTATCCTGAAGACCAGCTTTTCCAAAAAACATTCGTGAATGGGTTAAAAAAGTAAGATGCCGCTTGTGGATCCAACCACAATGTGCTGTTGTCTCAAAATAGAAGAAATTGATACTAAAAAGCTATTCCAGATACATACAAGTACAAACACTAGAGCTGGTCCAAAAGATTCAGGTTCAACATTTTAAAAAAGCAAGGAAAATTTTCTGCAGTGTGGCTTTTGCATTAATTTCCCCTATCCTCACTTTTCTACCAGTTCCATATACCCTTCCGAAAAACTCACGTCTGTTGTAAGAGTGCAAAGTCCATCCAAATCTTGTGTTTAAGTTCACTATCACTACACTTTGAAAATCCTGACGGCAAATAAAAAGATCTCGATTTAACTTAGCAAAAGTGATATCTAGAAAATATTCAACATCAAGAGGTCTTACAAAAAACTTCAGCCTACTAAGGCATTCTAAGGCACAGTGTTTTGGAAGAAGTGCTTTCTCCCTTTGGTGTTGCTTTATACACATCACGTGTGTAAGTCCAAGTGATGCATGGAGCTGCAGATGTATGCCATGCCTTCTCCCAATCAGTGACTTGAATCTTCTTCTGCAGTTTCAGACATAGGCTCCCAATGCTGCATGAAATTCAGTTAGACATTGCACCAGCTGCTGAAACTTGGGTCTTTCTTCAGGATCTAGGGCCCAACAGCAGGCCATCACAGCAAACCTGCAAGATAAAGACAAATGGAAGACATGAGAACATAAGACAGGTGCCCATAGTCCCAACCTGAAAGTGAAAAACAGCACTTGCCACCAGAAAACCTGTCGACTGGAGAGAGAAAAGGAACCCTTTATCTTCTGGTACACGA